AACTAAGAAACCAAAAGTATGTATTTAAAAAAAACCCCATTCTACAGTTTTCAACTTCAGTATTTACTTACAACAAACTGAAAATTGCCACTTCATCCTTAGAATCTCCATTTCTTATTTTCTTTTGTCTCCTGAAAAGGTCTAAATACTGATGGAGAGAAAGAGGAGGGGAAGCAACTGTTCCCCCCACATACAGAACTACAGCCAAAGTGCCGATGCAGCCGGGTGCCATTTCCTCAGGCAAAGTAGGCCTTTTGGCGTCCTAGTTCCACACAAGGATACCATCTCTCCTGGACACCCTCCCCAAAAGATCAACAAAAATACTTTGAAATTAGTCTTACAAGGATACATGTAGCCCTTGGGAGAAGGGATCTAAACCCCTTCACATCCACATTCAGTTACGCAGAGGCAGAGGTGGTGGCAGCTGCATCCCAGCAACAACTGTGCTTTTGATATGTAATTTACAGCTGCTATACAGGGAACGCAACTACTAGAGAGAATGGTATAAAAGTCACATACTTCCAATGAAACCAAAGTGCTACCCACAACTGGCCAAGGGAAACTGTGTCTCTGCTCTGTCTTCAGCTCTGCCCAGGATGTCGAGGCCTGGACAGAGCAGAGTATTGTGCATGTTATTTACAGAGCACCCACGGAAAAATTCCAGCTCTCGGGAGCCAGAAAGCTGATTAAACAAAGTTTAATACATTACATGTGCTGTGAAGGGTGTAGCGCTGTTCTAGAGTATGCCAACACTTAATTTATCACAAGCCAGCTGGTGCCCTGAGTTAAGTAAAAAGTGTGGACAAAAGAAGAGGTGAAAGTGTGAGCTATTTACCAGGCTGTCACACTGCCAGTAGAAACCAGGTAGCAGACAACTGCACCTGCTTAATTCACATCACTATTATCTCTTCATTACTTTGCAGATACTAACTCTGTGAAGTTAACTACACAGACATTTTACATTTTTTTCCCCTAAAAAAGTAGTTCTAAATATTTTTGCAATGGGTATTTGCTGAATCTAAGTTTTTGTCATTTTATTACTACTGTTGTAAAGCTTTGTGTTACTTCAATAACTTTTTGTCCTGGCTAAAAGCAAGGTTCAGGGTTCACTAATCTGGTAAGTTTTAAAATCACCTTCAGAGAAGGAAGGAAAACCCTTGTGGATCTACCAGAAGTATCCTTCAAAACAGTTAAACATCTGCTTGGAGAAAAATCAAGTAAGTCACATTCACTTTGAGACTTGCCTGCCACTCCAGTGACACCACTCTAAACAACTTCAAAAGATACAGCCTCTTTGGAGCAATGCCTTGGTTTAGTATTTTGTCACTTCTGCCCCAACAACCTCCACCACTCACAGGGCTCAAAATATATATACAGGAAACTTGTATTTTAGTGTAACACATTAAGACATTTATCCACATTTGTTCTACAACATCTCATCAAGGAAAAAAACAAACATCACTAAACTGCAGCTTTGCCGAGCCTCAGCAGTAGCCATCAAATGCTTGCAGGCATTAGGTAGAACTATGTACTTACATTCGAAAACAAATGGAATAAATCATTATTCCTTCAGAACTGGAGCTACGTAATTTATTTTTTAATCCTTCCTTTGCCTAGCAAAAGAGGGGAGTAATTTTATTTCTGTATGAAATCAGGAAACCCTCCACTCTGGGGCCCACCGTACTGTAAATCATATTTATTTTACTCAAGTCAGTGAAACTACAGCGACCTTCCCCCACACCTTCAACTCCCCTTAGTACTGACTGCTAGAAAGTCAGTTTTCAGAGTCATGTGCCAGATAAAGGCTTTTTCAGGTAATGTGTGGAGAACACAGTGGCATTAAGTGGTTTGTTGGATTACTGACAATAAAACACACCTAAAAGGAATCCCAGGGAGCACAGCAGGAGCTCAGTGCTTATTCAAAGAGAAGCATCAAACAAATGACTCCGTATTTATCCAACAAGTTCACCTAAAATTCATTGGTAGACCAGTACATTTTCAGATTAATGGTTCAACAGCTCTACAACAAAATACTGTGCATGGATAGTCAATCTTCAACTCTGAACACAACATACAGCGCTTTTACTATGTAACTGGAAAAAGAAAGTAATATAACAGTTTCTGAAACCTAAAGCATATTAAAGAGCATTTTTTATATCACCGAAATAAACAGGAGAAATGAAAAAGCCAATTTGTTGCTCTTGAACAAAAGTTTAATCAAAACTCGTTAAGGGACATTGTGAGAATGCACTGCCACATAAAAGTATGGCAAATACTCCCCTACCCTAACCTCTAAGCGAGCTTCCTGAGAGCTGGAGCAAAACACAGCACTGCAGGACACAGGTTAGTTAAACCCTCTGTAAATTGAAGTATGACTTATGCTGTGATGTAATGCACCATGCACCCCACTCTTTACACCACCAGGACATATTGCTACACATACACTACACACAAACACCTCAAAACATTTCTAATTTGTTTACAACAGTACAAACCATCAATTCTCAGACTTGCCCACCCCACTCTTTAAACTGAGATGTAAGACGGTCCTGTCCCTTAGCGATAATTCAATTCATCCCCTTTTGCTAAGCAATTACAAAATGAACTTCAAATAACATTTATTAATCAAATGTTTCAGACTTAAATCAGTTGGATTAGGAGATACAGCGCGTTCTTCTACAAACCTCAACTTTTTAAGCTATCAAACTACCAAGCAAATGACTTATTAACCAAAAAAAGACAAGAAAAAAATCTGAAATGAGTAAAAGGTCACGTTAAGTTACTTATTTCTGTTTAACCACTTCAAGCATTTTTGAATAATCCACTCCATCGTAACTAGGAGCCGAGAGCTGTTTCTAGCTCTGACACTGTAAATGAAGCATTGCTGAATACTAGTAAAGCAGGAATACAGGCACAAGGAAGATAGCACTGCTTAAAGTTTACATTCCATTGGTTAGTGTTGCAAGACAGTGAGAATTACTACAAACTAGGATTGAAGACAAACAGAAAAAACAACGTAGTTTGATACTAAGTGCAGAAAAATATGTTTTGAAAACAGAAAAGGAAAAGGTGCTTTGCAGAATAGTGGTATCTGACCAAACAAGGTAAATTTCCCAAAGTGTGCATTTTGCCCCTAAATCTGAAAGGGAAGATTCAGAAGACGAATCACTAAAAGAGAGTCATAGAATCATAGAAAGTTTTGGGTCGGAAGGGACCCCTAGAGGTCATCTAGTCCAACCCCCCCGCAGCGAGCAGGGACACCACTAACTAGATCAGGTTGCTCAGAGCCCTGTCCAACCTGGTCTTGAATGTTTCCAGGGATGGGGCCTCCACTACCTCTCTGGGCAACCCGTTCCAGTGTTTCACCACCCTCATTGTAAAGAATTTCTTCCTTATATCCAGCCTAAACCTACCCTGTTTTACTTTAAAACCATTACCCCTCGTCCTGTCACTGCTGTCTCTACTAAAAAGATTGTCCCCATCTTTCCTATAGGCTCCCTTTAAGTACTGAAA